CCTTATTACTGGTTCCCATATTGTATTCATTTCTATGCTTGGTCGGCTAAGGAGATTTTTGTGGCCTAGAATATGTGCTGATCCTTTAAGTTTCCGAATTTTCCAATCGTGTTCTTTGTCTATGATCTCAACCTGATCCCACAGAAGGCGGTGATCTCCCTTTTCTCTCCATATGTGGTCAGCCATGCCTATTTTCTACTTCCCCTCGTATTACAGCTTTCTGGTGTTTATGAAGCCTTACCTTAAAGGCGGCCTGCCTCACCTTTATATTTCTTTCCGCAGCTGCACGGGATGGTGTACACACAGTCTTTAGTCATGTTCTCCTCTAGGGGGGGGGTCTTACTCGGGAGAGATATCTGCGAAGTGTCGGCCAGCTTTTGAAGATTAAATTCACGTAGTTGGGGCGGCAGGGAAAAAGCAGTGAATATGTCACAACTGGCATTAATTTATTTAGATGTCTTAAGATATTTCAAATTAATCGTTTTTCTTAATTATTCGTATAAGAAATTCTAATTGATTTAGTGATTAATTACTTATAGATAAAAATGAAACAAAATGAGATTATGTGATGAAAAAAGCGCATATTGAAATGTAGTCTGATTTTAGGTGATTTTGTGTAGAAAGAATTGCGTCTAAGACTGAATTCTGCGATTAAATATATCCATCATTAATTTTTAATTCATATTTCTTCATTTTCCTATTAAAAAGGATATGAGCATGATCCAGAACCTATGCTGGAAGCAAACCTGCTGCATATTCCCAGAAAATGAGTTCAGTAAATATAAAAAATAGAAAGGCTTGTATAGCACAGATGAGTCTTCTCACCGGACTTAAGCAACCTTTACAGACAGGTGATTATGTGGGAATCAGAAGTCCTAACGGGATTCAATAATGGCGGTCGCGATCTTAGCATGCAGATGACACAGTGTTGATAGCAGACAAAAGAAAAGAAATTACGAGATATATTATAGAAATGAAGGAAATTGAGAAGAAAGGACTAAACATCAAATGGTGAGAAAATGGAATGTATGATTGTCAGCAAAACAGAACCGCCCAAAACGTAAATTACAAATAAGAGATACAACAATCAAACAAATACCACAATTTAAATATTTGAAAAATGTTTTAACAGAGGACGGACAGTGTGATACTGAAAACCGAAGGATAGCGAAAGATGCACCAAAAGCTAAGTATAATGGCACAGTGGATAAAGGCATTAGTTAGATCGAGTGACAGGACCCAAAGAGTGTGAGTTCAATACCCGGTTAAGGCAGTGGAGAACTTTCTGAGGGAAGTTAACAGGAGATAACTGATAACTGACAGCCATAAAACATGGCACGTGGAACTAGAACAGTCTACGCCAGTGAGCGAAATAAAGGGTTCAGTTCGACATTCCAACCACCTGATGAAGGCTGGAGCGTACAACGGCCAAAACGTTGTGATAAATATGGCGACAAAGATGAGGACAATAGTCCGAATAATGTAAATAATGTACATAATAGCTCATCTCAGAAATATAGACAAACCCAGAGTATAATGAAACAAGAACATTTTTAGTAAAAACAGAATTCCCCCATCTTTTAGACAAAAAGACGTTCAATTACGATAATTTCCAATGTGAAGGAGAAGAGAAATAAAATGTTTAGTAAAGTAAGAAACAGGCAGAAGTTGACTATTGATCACGTGTCGTAGAAGAACAAAATACAAATATTGCTGTTGTTGGGGATGTGCAGAATTTATTAATTACAATTGAGAGAATCAGAAGGAATTTGTGTAGGTTGCGTGACTTTCTGCATCCACAAACAAATAAATAAACGAATTTTAAATACAATCAAAAACAAGACATATTCAATTTAGAAACCAATAAAACCTTTATATACAATTCAAAGTAATATACATACAGGATATTTGGTATATATTACTATGGCAAAGTGTGTGTGACATTTGAGGTTTCGGTATGTCTCTCTTAGTATTCGTTTGTTTATTTACAGTCTTTCTAGATTTGTGTTGATATTAAAAATGTCGATATTAAGTGTTTTTTGGAAGGAGTTCTTATGGAGTGATCTACCTTTGACTGTAATATCTCTAAATCGTTCGCACGTTGATTTTTACTTAATAGGTAGTGAATATAATTCACTTTGGATAAGCAAGGTTTGTGATTCGATGTCCACAGAGTTGGGTTGAGTTTTAAATTACAAGTGAGTCAGCGTTGATGTACTTTTGCGCGGTAAAAATCGTGATTTCGAGTGACGTAGAGTATGTTGGCAATTTCTCTGTGGATGTTCGTCTCTGACTGCTTTGGTCAGTCGGCGTTTTCTTTTATATGTTTTGAAAGTCCAAAATCGGCTCAAAAAGTTTTTGCGCGATTTCGGCGTGAAACTTTCAGATTTTTGTGTCGTTAACCAATGAGATTTGTTGATTCGCCTAGTACGGTTTTTATTGGTTGAAGTTTTCCGTACGTAGGCGTAAGATATAGACTGTTCTGTTACTAGCGGTGATAGGTAGGAAAAGGACGAGTCTACACTGTCATACCAAATGCCTTTTTTAAACGCCTACCTACTTTGTGTTTTATGACCCAGTGTAAAAATATGTACGAACAATCTTTCTACACAAATAAGAGGTTTTTTAATCTGAATTAAAAAATTCTGAATACGTTTACATACGGCCACCCTTATTGGATTGAAAGTGAGGATTGAGAAGCTCCAGCTTAGATATCGCAGCATTATTCCATTTCTGGTTTGATCTGACTTGTCGAAAAGTAAATTATGGAGTCAAGTAATAAAAAATTAAGTACCATATTCAGTATAATTCAACCCCATTTTTCTGAAGATAAAATGAATAAAGAAATTACATCCCTGATTTAATACGACCCGATAGTACAGTCATTTCTATGTATCTCTTTAACAGATAGATGTTATCCATTAAAATCTCAATGTCCAAGAATATTTCAGTAAAATATTTAATTTTTCATATATATCAAAAAAATAAAAAATGAAGCCAGATGTTTAGTCATCGTTGCATATTCTTATTTCCGTTGAAAAACTTACTTTTGAATTTTCGGCGAAAGGTGCTTATGTCAAAATATTAATATTATCAAAACAACCTTGTGTATACTCTGCAGATTTTAAAAATCGAACTTCCGTCTTTTAGACAAAAGACGTTCAATGGTTGGTTAATTTCAATGTGAAGAAGAAAGAGAAATAAAGTGTTTAGTAAAGTAAGAAACAGGCAGAAGTTGACTATTAATCACGTGTCGTAGAAGAACAAAACACAAATATTGCTGTCATACCAAATATTAATTTTGTAAACGCCGACCTACTTTGTGTTTTATGACCCAGTGGGCTGACTGAATGTATTTGCAATCTTGCTGTTTTAAACAAGAGGTTTTTCTTTTTAACTGAGTAAACATTTCTGAAAACGTTTACATGTGTATAATACGAACACACTTAACGTGACTTTAATTTCTGGTCAGAATTTCTCGTAATATACGAAAGAAAACACAGTAACTGAATCCATCCTTTATCATTAAAGATTAAAGAGGGCTTAGCGACTTTCTGTTGTGATATAAAGACCCGACCATTTTTTCTGCATCATTATCAATGGGTCGTATACATGAGTTCAACTTGAGTTTGGGATGAAACTGAGTCACAGTAGACATTCAAATTAAGGACATCGGAACTAGAACATATTAAAGAAAATTCTACGCGTTTACTGGGATTCAAAGGCTGGTTTGATTAACGATGTTCTGGATTCTGGACGAACTCTTACTACACAACACTACATCAAGTGAAAGACTTTGAAGAAACATTTATTTTTCGGGCCAGAAAATTAATCGATATTTTCTATTACAGAACCACATCTTTCCTCGTGCTGCAAATATGACACAGAAACCAACCACAGAGTTGGGATGGGATGTTTTTTTTTAACCTAAAAACTAAAGAGTATTAAGAAACAGGAAAAAAAAAAAACGTTAGAAACAAAGAAAAGAGTAGCATAAACTGAACACGAAGTTTTAGAAAAAAGGAAACAAAAGGAAACTAATATTTAACATTGATTAAATTTCTAGGGCATATGATGAGGAAGGAGGTCTTGAAAATTCTGATACTCACAGGACAGATTGAATGCAAGAGGGTCAGAGGAAAAGTAATCATAAACTACTTGGTGAACTTGAGTAAATGTATACCTGAACAGGGTTTATGAGAAATAGCAAAAAGACAAAATTTATTAAAAGCTACGAAGGCTAGGAAATTGTGGAGATCCATGATCACCTACATCCTGAAGGGCAACGGCACATAGAGAAGAAACATATATACCACAGATCTTTCATATTTAAAATGATTTGCTATATACAACACACCTTGTGTCAAAATTCGCACTCGTTCAATTTGTCAAGAAGCCAGAATCTATGATAGAATGTTCAGTTTAGCTCTATGACGGTGTACGGTCGCAAGAAGCCAAAGAAAATTACACTGGAATGATAGTATCATTATTCAGACAATATTGATGCTATCAGCTTAAATGAACAAAAGGACTTTTAAAAAATACAGGAAGTTTCAGCTTCGAGCAAATATATTTATTTCATTAATATGAATATAACAATTATTGCTTCATATATTGATTGGAATATAGATCATAATTTGAGAGCATAAGAGATTCTCAGACGAATGGTAAGTCTAGCAAGTGAACCAAGGTCACATAGCGTCTCTTAAATAAATGTCTATATATTTATTTGAAGTGAATGAGTGCACGCATTTGTGTTCAACTTTCCTGCACTTAGCTGGACAGGTAAGTGAAAACAGAAACCTCTTTTCAGTTAAACACCTTCCTTATGCGGTTGCTTATTTTGTCATCATAAATAATTTCATTAATTATTTGTGAATTGTTTTTTTTTTGCTATATTCCTTTTAAATATCAGCCGATATCTTCTCCAGCCTTCATAGTATTCGTTTAGGATAATACCAACGGCTTTATCTCACGTTTTTATTTATTTTTATCTTAAGTAGTTTCTTTCTTTCTTTCTTTCTTTCTTTCTTTCTTTCTTTCTTATATACTCCTTCTTTTTTCCATTATATTCTGTATTTATTTCTACAATTTGTCGATTATATTTCTTTTTTTTTTTGCTTTTACGTCATTTTCTGCACTTCATTCTGTTTTGTCTATAACTTTTCTTTTGCTTAATAGCATTATCCTTTCAGTTATTCATTCATTCATTTTTTTATTGATTCTTTATTTCTCACATCTTTATCTTTTTTACATTTTTCATTTTACATCACATTTTGTGTCTCTCTCATTCTTTTTTTTTTTTAAAATCATATCTATATATTTTTCCTTTCTACATCCAACCTCATGCTTCTTTCTTTATTTCTTTCTTCCTTTCCTTCTTTCTTTCTTTCTCACGTCTATAGTCCTTTATTTTCTTCCTCCATTTTTCTTTCCTTTTGTATCCTCCTTTCTAAGTCACGTCTCTAAATTTTTCTTTCTTTTTTCTTATCCTGTGTCGCTTTCTTTCTTTCCATTTTATAAACATTTTATTTCTATCTATTTAATAGCAGTCTTTCTTTCCTTCCATTACATAGTACTTTTTTCTTTCTTTCTTTCTTTCTTTCTTTCTTTCTTTCTTTCTTTATTTATTTCTTTATATTCTATTCACTTCCAATTTTCATCCTTTCTTCTACCATCGTTGAATGTACTACTTAAAAAAAACAAAATATTAAAAGAAATCACCTGATTTTAGAATTAACATGCTTTTATAGTTCTAAATTCTTTATAATGCAATTTCTTTGACCAATAACCCAATTTATTATCAGTGAATTCAAACACATCGTTTAATTTTTGGACATCCGCTCTGCATAGAATAACTCCGAGAAGAATACTTGAAAAGAGAAATATGTTTCTTTTTTTTTCTTTAATGACCATTATTTTATTGAGATTTTCATTTTGAATGCAAAACTTTCAATAAATCATCGGATTGGCTTCAGAATCAGGGACATTTTTGCGTTCCGTTATTGTCCGGGATAACAATGAAGTGCGGTCACTTAGATGAAAATTCTTGAAGATTATTTCGGTTGGTAGAATGTTGTGTTGAAAAATATAAAAGCTTGCACTTTGATTACATGTGGTGTCCACTCAGCGTATAGATAGCAAAATTATTTTTCTGCCGTCAAAAAAGGAAGTATTTCAACTATGGTTTCTTATTTTACTCGCAAGATGAAAGCACTTTCACGAATAAAAGCATACTAAATGTAATTGCGTTTATCTTCGGTATTTATCACTGGCAGGCAGACCATTTCTCCTTTGGTGACCCATGAATGCGACCTTGTGTCAAGATCGAATTAATAACTAATGTACTTCACATCCATTGCTTTGTCCCAATAAAGGTTTTTGATAGAATGTCCAAACGAAAAATAAGTTTTCTTTAATATATTTAACTTAGTTTGGAAAATGGCAGTAAGCAAAAGGCAACTATAAATTCCTTATTCAATAGTCATGATTAAACTAAGTAGATTGTTAAATATTAACCACGCCGTGGTGCCCTCAAAAACTAAACTTAGCTGAGTTTAACTGAAAGAGAAATTATGGGGCTCTCAGTGAGGATCGAACTCACTGTTCAGTACTAATAGTCAAACATATTATTTGGAGAGTCGGTGTAGCGGTTAGCAAGCTTGTCTTGCAAGAACAATTACGACTGAGTAGTGAGTTCAATCCTCACTGTGTGCTTCCTATTTTCGGCATTGTTATACATCTAAGCTACGCTTAGAAAATCACTACCTTGCGAGTTATTATTCTACGACGAAGTGCCTTTTCAAATGTAAACGTAGATTAGTTTGGGAAGAGGTCAATTCATGGGGCATCCAGTAAGGATCATCCTAACAAGCTGCTTAGTCCCTACATAGACTTTGACACCCACCAAAATTTACTAAGATTTGTTTGAAACACGGCCATAAGTATGGAGCTCCCATTGAAGAAAAAAAATCACTACTCAGTCGAAATGGTCATTCCTGTTAAATTACTAAATATTAGATCAAATCTAAATCGCCTAAGCTATTATTTATTAAGCTTATCTTAGTTTGGCATAAGTCCACAAGTAAGGGGCACTCAATATCGAATACGTTAACGGCTATTAATGTCAACCAGACTACACACTTACCTTGCGAAAAATAATGCCGTTGCCCAAAGTCCATGATGAACCCAGTTTAGGCATTTATCGCCTATAACAAAATGATTTATTTTGCGCGTTTTATCCAAAAGTGCGAAACAATTTGAAGAAAAGTCTCCAGCATAAATAAAGTATAATTACTTAGTATTTTTATGTCGACAAAAAGTCGAAATACTGTTGTACACCGTAAGAATAAAACTTATTAGAACGCTTGTGATTTGTTGCGGAGGCGGAAATTGTAAACATGGAAGACTGAACCATGTTGTTGTTGTTGTTACTAATGTGAAGGTTAATTCCATCTTAGCATCGATAAACGTAAATTCAAGTAATATATTGAGTAAAATGTTTAAATAAATGTTTAATTTATTTACATATTGTTATGGTAAAACACACCTATTCTATAGTTAATAGACTCTCCCACCTAATATAAGTAGGAGTAGTAAGAGAAACGAAGGTCGGTCAATGTCAGTCGATGTCGGACGACAGTTAGTCGAATACGAAAGTATCAGCGACCACAACAAGATTACTCTGCGTAATACCTATTATATCAAGTTCCTAACGTTTTGTACGTCGAACCTATTTTAGGACCGATTTAGTACAATTACAAGCCTCCATTGCGAAATCACTCCACAACACATTTATACAAAACTGGTAACTTATCTGTTCCTGTTGCTAAGGCAACAGGGAGAGAAAATGATGAAATTAGAAATGAAATATACATTGATGATGGCTGTCGTTAACAATGGCGTTTCTCTCTCAGCGCGTCCATGTCAACATAAACGCTGGCTTGTGCCCTCTCTCACACTCTCTCTCTCATTCTCTCTCTCAGCTTGCCAGTGTTGACATCGAAGCTGGTCTGTTTCGGGTTTGTTTGAATTAGAGAATATATAGCCGTCAATCGGCTTCAAATTGAGGTTTTGTTTTTTGTAAGCGGGTGTGGCTCTGACTGGTCAATAAATAGTTCGTTTTATTTTGGTTAAAACAGATTTATCTGTGGAGACTATGCGCAGAAAACGTATTTACGCAGTCTGCTTCTGGGTCGTCGAGTTTAAGCTAGCTAAATTTTTGAGCTAGCTTAAAGGCCGGCCTATCTTTAACCTAGCTCCAATTTTGGATACAAAAGGAAAATAAGTTAATCCCCTTGAACCATGAAAGCAACGGTAATGGCTAGTATAATATATTAATATATATTTTTAACCTCGCATAATCTGTCAACCCTGAATCTGAGATCAACGAAAATCGTTCCTAACGTCTAACTTTTTTAGGACTTTTGAATGAACTATGGTTAATTGAAATTGGAGCAGGGAGTGTGGAGGAGTTGCTTGGAATCACACACACACAAACACATACACTCTATATAAGATTATATTAAATGACTATAAAAAAATCCGAAAACGCTTTTTCAATTCATAAAATTTTATTAACACATTGACTCTCAACCACACGCTTTTATTTTGACGTTATTTTTGTGGCCTTGTCATCAAGGATACAACCACTGGTTTTTCATTTTTTTTAAGGCATATAATTGACACCTGGCGTCTAAGGCAAGAATGTAAAACAGTACGGGCAACTAAAAATGAACTTTTTATAGGAAAAATTCATTGAAAATATAACACGTAAGTGAATCATTGTAAAAGCACAAGAATTGATCAATATTTAAACGAGATGATTTTTGAAACAATCAACAAGGCAGAAGCGTGTTTTTTCTTAATAAGCGGCGCACATTCCCTGTGTTTCTCACCGTACTTTGTTTTTGCACGGATTCTGTAGGGCTGTAGTTCTAAACTTTTTTTTTCTTTCTCGGGGACACATTTTCGGAATGACAATTGCGCCTCACCAAATTTTATGTAATAAAAAATACATTTAAAAAAACAAAACAAAAACAAAAACAAAGGGAGGGTTAGAGGGAGATAACTCTTTTATACAGGCAACGATGATTGTAATTGCAAAGTAACTGATAATAATATTTTAAATCATATTTAGTTTTGTCATATGATTTTTTTGAGACTGTTTCTAAAACATTGATTATCTTTCAATCATACAACCTCCCCTGTTATCCTCTTTCGCCACACCTATGTGACGCGGCTCACCGTTTGGAAACCAGTGCTTTAGGGTCTGGTTGGACGTTGGTGGTATAACTTAAACTTAATGGTATAGCTTCTAAATAATCTTCTGTTCCACCATCTATTCTTGGAGGTTTTGGTTTCTTTGATAGTTGATAACAAAGTAAACATTTCACAAGTTTATCAATGATAGTGATCGCATCAATGATAGTATCACAATGATACTTTTAGTGTGAAAGTAACGCTAAGACTTCAGTTGAAGCTATAAATAATCTCACCCAAAATCTTTTTTGCCTATATTTGTTATAAATTTGGCGTTTGAAGTCATATTTCTTAATTGTCCTCTGGCAGTCAACGTGTTAATACATCAACAAAACTGATTATTTTCATTTCAAGTACGAAACTGTGTTCAACATGATGAATATATCGGAGATTTCTGATCAAGAACAATAAATAGTTGATCTTTTCTTAAATGTTAATCTAATCTGCAAATGTTAGAAACGCAGCGAGGTAATCGAAGTTTTGATTGATTGATTGATTCGTTTATCAACCCCTTAAAGCCAGAAAATATTTCTAGATTGTAAGATACTTTTTGAGATAATAATGATTTAGTGATACAAGCTTTACTAATTAACCCATAGCTGTGGGGAGAAGAGGTGTATTCACAAGGGTATTTGCACATAAATGAATATAACGAGCTCAACTGGAACTCGGCTTTCAGATTTACAATTCCGATACATTATCCATATTTCCATTCCAAGCTTACAGCATCTGGTATTTCCATGCGGCTACCCATCTATTTACTTACCAGGTTCGACATTGCTTAACTTCGCTGAATGTACGGGAAACGATTTTGCAACGAGATACGGCCGTAAGCTCTAATTGAAGTCTGGAATTTCTATAGATAGACGATAGGCGGACAGAGAATCTGTAAGTGTTATGTAAGTGTTATCTTTAAGAATTATGGTTTTAATCAGGAATTTCCGAAGATTCATGTTGACGAGAGATAATACGTGAACTTTGAAATGTAATTTTTTCACTGAGTAAAAATAGAGTGCGTATAATCTGTGGGGAAAGAACGAAACAATATACAAATGTCTACAATTTTTTTTTTTATTTCAATTTGGAAAGAACGAATTTATCTAGCGTTACGTGTGAAAATCTAACCAAGAAAGCCGATGATATTTTCGTATTCATCTGACTGGCGACGACAGACTTCATATCATTAGTAAATATACAAATGATAAAGCAATTAATGGCACACCTCCAAAGATCTAGATGACCAAAACTTGGCAGTTGATCTCTCCGATGGCCTAGCTCTCACGGATCAAGGGGGGGGGGAGGCTTACGACCATATAACGTTATACGGCCACTTCTCGTATGATCACAGAATTTAAGCAACATCAAGCCTGGTCAGTATCTAGATGGGTGACCTATGGATATACTAGGTGCTGTAGGCTTGGCTGTGTGGGTGGTCTAATGGATAATGGCTCGAAATTGTTAATCGGA